TGAGGTCAGGTTACCAGTCTAGTAAGACGGCAGACTCACCCATTGCCAATACCTCATAGGGGGATTGACAGCTTCCTTGAAACATTCTATATAGCCTGCCTCATCACGTGAGGTCAGGTTACTAGTCTAGTAAGATGGCAGACTCCCCCATTGCCAATAACTCGTAGGGGGATTGCCGGTTCCTTGGAACATTCCATCTTGCCTGCCTCTTGACACGAGGTCTGGTTGTCAGTCTAGTTTGAAAGCAGACTTACCCATTGCCAATGCCTCGTAGGGGGATTGACAGCTTCCTTGGAACATTCCATCTTGCCTGCTTCATCAGTCCAGCCTGCATCTGGGTACACCCTTCAGTACAAAAACCGAAACATTATTTACTTGGGCAGAAACTGTGTCAGTTTTTGAGCCTTTTTGTCATTGCAAGGTCAACAAGTACAGACCACTAAGAATGCTAGCTGAGGAATGCTAGAATGAGGAATTCCAAAATACCAGGATTATTCCCATTAAAAATCAAAGCAATGAGGAACACAATGACCATGTACCTATCAGTAAATCCTAGTAGTGGATTCCATCGTTGAATGCTAGCTCCCACCATGAGGAATTCCAAATACCAGGATTATACCCATTAAAAATCAAAGCAATGAGGAACACAATGACCATGTACTTATCAGTAAATCCTAGTAGTGGATTCCATCGTTGAATGCTAGCTCCCACCATGAGGAATTCCAAAATACCAGGATTATTCCCATTAGAAATCAAAGCAATGAGGAACACAATGACCATGTACCTATCAGTAAATCCCAGTAGTGGATTCCATCGTTGAATGCTAGCTCCCACCATGAGGAATTCCAAAATACCAGGATTATACCTACTAAAAATCAAAGCAATGAGAAACACAATGACCCTGTACCTATCAGTAAATCCTAGTAGTGGATTCCATCGTTGAATCTCATAGATGCAGACATGTTTGTGATCAGTCTGTGAGCCAATACCACTGTAGACACCTGGATGGACATGTTTTCAGTCCAGGAAGGGAAAAACAACAGAAATCAAGTTAAATGAGGTTGCAGGTTGTTCCTAGTGTAAGACAGTGTTAGATATTCAGTTCAATGCAATTGAAAGTTAACCTGTGAATGGGAAATTCTTTTCACATTTTTTCCCTCTTCAGGGAATCTATTTTCATTCCACAAAACATGAAAACCTTTCCCACAGAGGAAAAGATCTCCACTCCTTTTTTCGGAATGAGAAAAGATTTTCACAAGTTTTCACACAAATGTGCCAACATTTTCATGCCTAAAGAAATGCATATGGAAATGTAACCGGAAATTCCTTTCACAAAATGTCCCATGTGCATTTTCAGTGTTACTTTTCAATCGCAATGTAGTGTACACAGAAGGATTTGGAGTGGTTAAGCTTAATCTGTATGTTTACAAAAACTGGCAAGGTGCCAAGGATACCTTTGAAGATGCCTCCACCATATCCTCCTGTGTGGACCCATGGTGTGTTGTCCATCCCTAGACCCCACACCACTCCAGCTGGACAGGCCTCAATCACTGCCATGTGACCTCCAATCTGACGCCAAAACCTATACATCAACATTCAATGCACTAATTATGGTCTGGTAGGATTTATTTTGCACAGGATTAGGCAGGACTAAAAATGAATTTAAAGTGTTCAGGATTCTGACATTCACACATTAACAAGCAGCAAGCATAGATGCCATCTAAATATTCCAAGACTTGGAACTGTCCACTGAGAACATCAATCATGTTCTTTGGGAGAAAAAGATTGTTCTAGATGAGAATATTAAAGAGCAACCACAACGGAGGAAGAAAATCAGAAATCTGTCTGTAGTATGTTTGCTTGGATCCCATTATAGACATCTATGCCGTATAAACCTGGATTAAGCAATATTTTGGTTAAAAACTCACTTTTGAGACCCGTTTCTGTCGAGCGCCATGGCTAACTTTCGTGAAACGAGTGTGTTGTCATCGCTTCATTTACATCTCATGAATAAGGCTTTTGTCCTTTTAGCACCGTGGAAACGGTTCTCTGGCTGGTGCATGTACGCAGTGAGCCGGCGTGGTCATGTCATTGCAGATAATTACACGTAGTATAGTGACGTGTGTGTAGTTACAGTTACACTGTCCTAAGCTTGCGCTATAGTAGCTGGAAATCCCAAGATATTCTCCAAAAAAATGGCTGAAAGCAAAAGACCCGAAAGCGGCAACTCTTGGAAGGAGCATAGTATTGATGAAGAAGTGATGAACTCGTCAGACAGCCCTTCTACTTCAGACAACATCAACTCATCAGAGCAAGAAGAACCCAAGGACAACGAAGAGTACGAAGTCCAAGGCGCAGAGCCTTGACACTTCGAACCCATCATGCCACCGGAGTGCCAACGAAATCCCCATTGGGCTGATGATGGGGCCACCACTGGTAAACCAGGTGGTGGAGGAGACCAAGATCCTTTGATAAATACTGCTTGGTAAGTTCAGAGTGAAGGACAGATGTTTTGAATGTTTTTATGTTGTTACTTTATTAATAAAAAGTGTCAGGCTAGGCCATGCAGCTCATGTGTGCAGGCCTTTGTATGAAAACATACCCTTGAAACCAGGTCCTGCGAGGTCATGACATTTTTCGTTTCCAAGGTGATGCACAATTAAAAAGGCATTTCTGCATGGCGCCACCAACGGTACAAACATGGACAGTTTTCGAAATCCAGCAGAATAGGTCCATATTTTTATCGCATTATTACTATTTATTCAGAAGTCACAGTGCCACTTTTCATATATAACTTATTACTTAGATACCACCTGAGTATATTAAACTGTATTCCGCATTTTTGTCAACACCGTTGGGGTTGCTCTTTAGTTTTCCTCAGCAACCCATCATTTGCCATACGAAGTATTACAAAAACCACCAGAAATGTGCCCAATTTTGAGATGAGTATAGACATGACAATTTGCATGGGGGGGTATGGGTGTAAGCTAGTTAAAATTTGTAGTAGCAAATCCCTTATATGAAAGTTTCATCACTGGTACCAATATGGCACTTTCCTGAGGATGATCACAGCAATCATGATCAAAACGTCCAAGCTTTATTCACCGGTTCTCTTCAGAACCACACACCTTCCCAAAAGAGATAGTCACATGCTACAACACACTTTCACAAGTAAATTTGGAGATGGGTTGTCTATTTATGTCATTTCACTCACATAAGAGATGACGGAGCAGTTTCCATGTTGGGCAGTGTATCATATACAAAGATATCCCCTCGGCATGTGATACACCAGGCAGCGTTGGGTAATGGGGGACCATTAATGCCTCGACTCTCACAGCAAGCTAAGCTAAGGGCAGATACCTGCATAAAAAGTAGGCATCAATATATTCAACATTCTGGGCACAAATCACTCTTAGTGAATTGTTTTCACAACACAATTATACCCAACCCTATTACCAATAAACTCAAGAATCAGTTTCATCCAAGTCAAAGTAGTTTTACAAGACAAGCTTTATGACACTCCCAAATCCAGAGAATCTCCATTTCACAACACCATCAGCAACACAACATAACTGAACTGCACCCACCCTCTTGAATTAATTGTTGCCTACTGCCAACACTACGCCTGCGCATTGATAACCCTCTAAGAGTGCTTGCGCAGTATGAAGCAGAAGCAGAAACTAACCTCAGAAATACCCTAGATTCCAGCCATCACAAGTGGATCTCTGCTTTATGACTGTCACACATCTCTGCTTTATAATTAGTCTTGATTCAAGCAGTTATTAGCAGACAAACATTTTATGACATGACAACCAATCCACCCAAGAAGGATCTACAGCATGCTTTAGGAGCACATTTGGAGCTGAAGTGGTAAGAATTCTTGAATGGCTTAAACACGCAATGATGTAGCACTACTGGCACAATATGAATGGATTTGTACACATTGTTAAAGTTAACTCTTAGCTGTAAACGTTAATTTTGCAATATCCAATCGAATTTCCCGGTATCAAACCCATTATCTCACCCATTCCTGGAGTTCTTTGTCATTTCCAACTCTAAGCTTGACTGGTCTTCGCTCCAGCACACGCTTGGCAGTGTAAATGGCAAAAGCTGGCCGGTCAAAGTTGTTGACTTCTAACACACATGTTATCTCACTTAAAAGGAACTGTATTTGCTGTGAAAGAAACATATAAAATACATTGAGTCAGAGGTCTGCTCACTTCAAACCTTCTATGCGAATTATTATTATTATTCATGTGCATTCAGCGAAAGAGTTGTCCTATGACTCAAAAACAGTCAAGTGACTGTTTTTCTTCAGAGATCCCTTGTCTACCTATTGACTGGGTGTGACCGTTTATGTAACTTGATACAGCTGTGCCTTGACTGTTGGTAATTGATAAGCCAGCTTTGTCTCCAAGTCACCTGCTTTTTTCTAATTATTCACCAAAATTATGGTCTGACTGTTGGCGACTGGCCCGTGAATAAAATATTGCAGGTGGAAGTAACTGAATTTTTGACTGTCTGTGATTGTTACAACTAAAGGAGGATTCAAGAACTGCTTGACTGAAATTAACGGATCAGAATTATTGAAAACTTCTTGGAAAAAAAATATCCAGAGAGTGTGATTGAACTCACCTTAATTTTACCATACTGGTTATGATGACAGGTAAATGTAGGTTCTTCTAGGCCAATGCCATCAACACCTTTCTGTAACTCCACTGTACAGTCAATCCACTGTCTACGTTTTCCTTCACTGTACCACTGCATACGTCCAACCTTAACCCAGGATGTCTGCCAAAAAGACAAATCAGTGACTGATCGGTTCTCAGCTGGAGTTTAGATCTTAGTGTATCAAACTGCTGAGCAGGATGTTTGCTGTATAGATTTGGGTCATGTTTTGGGGGGGTTAGCAGGTTCATGGCAGCATCCACTTCAGTTTAGCACACATAATATTAATATTCTAGATGTTAAGCAGGAGTGTACCATCAAAGTTTGTGGGAACAGCAATGGCATGAATATTGGCCTTGAGGCAAGGATGTATTTTCCAGGATTAAGAATGATATATGATAACGAGATCGTATATAAAAATATTTCCCGACTAGCCCCCATGATAACAGCTAAGCATGTGCCACTACCTTGCATAAATGTCTGTAGCAAAAACTGCTTTGATCTTCTTTTGGTCAGACAAGTGTTTCATCCATGCAATATGCAAGCACGCCTACCAGTTGGTACATGTACCATCTTGAAGTGACTAACTGGTCTTCAAACCCTGCCATGCCTGCAGCATTTTGAACTAATGAAATCTAGTTAGAGTATGATGTGCATACCCTTTCTACAGCCAGTGGTATATTGCTAAAGGCACTGGTCTCTTGTTCTCTTCTGCTCTTCAGTAATGCCAGAATCTTCCATCTCCATGATCCATCCATCAATCTGTGCCTCAGACTGGCATTGCTGACCACAGCTGAAAAAAAATGAAAAATGGGCAATGTCAACCCATCCAAATGTGACTTTAAAAGGCATGGAATTGACATCACATTTGGTTGAAGTGAGCTTGATGTAATGTCAAAACAGACTTCCAGAGGTACTGCATCAACTACATGTACAAGTAAGAACACCATTATCAGCAAGAATCCATATCCATGTACATAATACAACCTGCACAGACTAATGTAGACCTATGGTAACTCTAAGCACAATATTGGGAAGTGTTCTTGGACGACAGTAAAAAGAAATCAACGAAATATTTCAATACCATAGGATACAACAGCTGTGGATGTGCTGTAAGTCATTTCTGAGATCTGTAACGTATTCAAGTGGATGTTAGGTAAATGTAGAGAGTACTAGTGGTGTTAAATTGTCACACAAGTCTGGATAAAATGAAAGAACTTACACACAAATTTAACAAAGGCTAACATACCTTGATCAAACCACTTGGGTGGAGACACAGGGTCAATTATACAACCAGCTCCACTGACTGACACCCACAGTAAACATCCACCTTCACCAGAAGACGTTAGATCAGCCAAGCTGCTGTCTAGGTAGGTATCCATTCCACTGACAGTCAAATGATCCTCATTAGACACATCTGATGACAGACTGTCTTGACTTGGGATTCCATTTTGCTCCAGGCTGATGCTCCTGAGGGTCTTATTTGTAGAAAGGGAGTTATTTGTTGGGTCGACGTCATCAATAGTGATAACAGGTGCTGGCATGGGGCATGTTTCACTTCGACTCCTATAAGCATTCCTACGCATTAGACGAACAGTGTTATTCAAATCCTCAATGCTTTGGGAATGTGATTCCTGACTTGTTAAACTTTCTGTGGCTGGTAAGTCCTCAGTGATGACTTCAGTTTGTGTTGCTTTGTTGGTCTCAGTGTCTAGGCGTTCTGGGCTGTGTAGTTCATCCAAACTTCCAACAAAATCAATGACGGTATCTGAGTAATCGGAAGAGTATGAATCCTGTCGGGTTAGCTCTCTCTTCTCGTAATCCTTATGCAGTTGTGATAGCGTCACCCCGTTACCTTGAGGGGCACAATAAGCTTTGGAGGGATCAGATGAAAAACCACTATCTTCGGCAGAGCTGCTTAGAGATGGATCACTGGATGCAGTCCGCATGGTGCCAAGAGGGTTACTTTCAATCCTATCCGCATTTCTGCATTCACTGATGGACATCAACTTCCCTCTACTATTCCTCTTATTCAGTTCCCCTATTTTGTTGATTTCCAAGTTACTTTGTGTGACATGTCTTGAAATCACTATGTCTTCATCTTTGCTTTGACTGCCTGAAGTCCATTTAGCACGGACCAGCATGGGATGTAAATCTACCTTCATCTCACTTTTTTCCTCTCTGTCCAAGTCAGCAGTTACTGGTGCTAGAACCTCATTGGTCTGTATAGCAATCGTCCGGACTATTTTCCCCAAAGCATTACGGGAAATCATCTCACTTCCCATCTTGAGTGGTCTGGTACCTAGAGCCAAGGCAGGCATGGTAACACTGCGAGCTGTACGCTGTAGCTCATCACCATCCATGTTGATTGGAGATTCCTTGCCGGTCCAGGATGGGCTGTTATCACTTCCCAGGGACAGTGAGGACATACTGCCATGAAGGCTATTGATTTCATACATATAACTACCACCACTGGAACTTCTATGGCGTTCATGAACATCAATCAGCTTCCAAGTTCTACCACACAGTTCCTCCTGGGTCACTCCAGCACGGAAGAAAATCTGCCGGTCAACAAAGCCTAAAGCCCACACCTACACAAAAGAAAGGTAATGCTACAAGTTGTCATTCAGGGCACCAAACTGTTAGTTTAGAAATGTTCAAAAGAGTTATGGATCATTTTATTAATCAGTGCAGCAGAATTGTCCTTCACCCATTACCAGTTCAATTGGTACACAAAATACATTAAGTGAAATCACATGACATCAATTAATTACACAGAATTCTAAAAGGTTTGGTTTATACTTATCAGAGTATGTACCGGTACATGTACATTGTACATGTAGGTCTGGAGAAAATTTGGTTGTGTGCATCAATCAGTCCATAAGGTCAAGTTTGAATGATGACAATCTGTAAACAACTGGTTGACTTTTCCTGGTAACCTGTACGTAAAATACATCTTGGGTACCAGGCAAAATCCACCTGTGGTTGACAAATGGTCCTTACTCCAACTTGCTTTAGAAAGGGGCATTCCACTCAATTGCTAGATTTGCTAAATGCAAGCTTTTAGTTTGTAACCTTGCAGATTATTTACAAAGGAAGTACCACAATCAGGACAGATTGTTTCTCTAACTGAAGCATTTAGGACTTGTGGCTGTTTGTACAAAACACCCAACCTGTGGGCCTTTGTTGCATAGCAGTGGATGGCTACAATAAGCCCTGAGCCTCGAACTTGACTACCGCCGTTTCAAGGGTATTTTGGGAAGGGAGGATAAGAAAAAAAATTGAGGCAGCTAAAACTTCTGAAAGTGAAAAAACAAATTGTTGTAGGTGTCAAAATCTGGAAATTACAGTGGAATAAAGAGGCCACTCTATTCTTGAGGGTCACAAGGTGATATTTCTCTCGGATTTTGTGCTGTTTTCTGTGGGCGAGTATGTAGTGTATTGCAACCCTAAGCAAGGTCAAGTAAGCACATTTTGCATGCAGATAGGAGGCAAGACATGCAATGAACTTCACAACAACTAACTTCAATCCTTGCCTGATCATTGGGTCCTACAGATATGGCAGCCATCTGGCCAACCATCTCTCCCAGTTGGTACCCTTGCATGCATCAGTGTGCCAGGTGTCCACTAATCCTTACCTGATCACATAGCAGCCATCTCCCCCCGTTGGTACCCTTGCATGCATCTGTGTGCCGGGTGTCCACTAATCCTTACCTGATCATTGGGTCCTACAGATATGGCAGCCATCTGGCCAACCATCTCCACCCAGCTGGTACCCTTGCATGCATCGGTGTCCACTAACGCCTTGAGTGCTTCAAAACCCTGACGAAACCAAACCTGCACAACGGATGGCATAAAGTGACTGTTAGAACACCATAGCTTGAAATTACAAATAATGGAATTTTGGTATTGGGTTCATGAAAATACTGGGTTTAGCCCCTTCAATACTGTGTTGATGTAATGAGTACACAAATACTAAGACATCGTATTAGACAAACAATACATGTTTTACATTGCAATGGAAAGACTTCCATTTCACGACAGATTCTATGTTCCATTTGATGCCTCATGGAAAAGAACACTCAATCTGTCAATGTATAAAACTGTTATTGATGCGCTCTATTATTTATATCATACACACCCAATGACTGCAGACATAACTTCACACGAGAACTCTATCTGTAAACGAACCTTATCATCCCTCATAAACCCAAGAAGAGCCTTGCATCTTGTTGCTCTCATGTGCATGAAGATGTTCTCTGCATGAACCTTAGATTCAAGGAATATACCACTAATTTGTGGATGCCATTTTATGATGGTTCTGATCAAAACTCACCTTGTTATCTCTACTAATTGCCCAGACAGCATTGAAACCGACAGCAACCTGACCTAGCCCAGCTTCTTCAGGTGGAGCCACATATTGCCAACCAATTCCTACAAAGACATCAAGATGATCATTTCGTTACAATGATCAAGATACCAAAGTGTCTCCGAACAATTGGAATACTGCAATACGAAAACTGCCAAAAGAGCGCACACTGCTGCTACTGGTAAATGCACCAGCCTGGGTCACATGGAATCACTGGCCTTCACCAGCCTGGGTCACATGGAATCACTGGCCTCCACTAGCCTGGGTCATATGGAATCACTGGCCTCCACTAGCCTGGGTCACATGGAATCACTGGCCTCCACTAGCCTGGGTCACATGGAATCACTGGCCTCCAATAGCCTGGGTCACATGGAATCACTGGCCTCCACTACGAATTCATTAACACAAGGCTTAGGAGAATTCTAGGCTGCTTTTTTCTACAGTTTTTTTAAGAGAATAAATCAAAATTTCCTCATATTTAGTACATGAAACAGACTTAACAATCAACAAAGCACCGTAGCATATAAGTAAGACATTTAAACACTTTTAAACATTGCAAATGTGATTTAATACTCAAGGCAACTCCACAGACTTGTTCTGGGTTTTTTGTAAACTGTAACAACCAAAATTCAAGTACAGCATCAATCCTCCAAAATCCTTGATTACATGTATCTCTTAACTTCACTTTTTGAAACAGTGGTCATTGCCTCAATCCTTCAAAATCACCACTCAACAGTTTTGCAATACAGACTCCATCCTTCAAAATCTTTCACTTACATGTATGCAAGGATTTTGGAAGGTTTGGGAAGGTTACGGGCAGTGTTGTAGTCGAGACCATCACAAGACCAGGCACAAGACCAGGCACAAGACCAGACACAAGACCAGGCACAAGACCATTTGCAAGTAACAGGGTGAACAATGACAAAGGAATGCTTTTGTTACAGCTCATTTGAATAGCGTGTGGATTGATTTCAGACTGGAAGTCTTGTGTTGGTCTTGTGGGGTCTTGTGTAGGTCTTAAGTGGTCTTGACTACAGCACTGGTTAGGATTAATCTTTTCAAGGAAATTTCAAGGTCAGCACAGACAAATCAAGCAAAATGAATTAGAAACCACTGGCGCAGGGCTGTCTTGTTTGCACACAGGGGTTAAGTTCGCGTTAGGGGTCATCCATTAAGCACATATACATACACAGGAAATGCCAACTTTTCAGTACATTGTACATGCACATCTACCTTAGTTTTGTTATTCGCACATCCCTTCCCGTACGGTTGCGGAAGATGACAGCGTTCTTTGTGTCATAACTAATGTTGCAGTCTACTAATAACGGGTGATGAAACGGGAGGATAAGGGTGCACCATGGAGGATACTGTGTTTGAATGGTTTTTTGATGCACAAAAGCTAATTCTGATATTTATTTGTATGAGAAGGTGTATTGATATGATGAAGATTCATTAAAGGCAAATTTTCGGCTTGCATACGGTACGCACTGGCTTGAACCCCCTTCCCTTCTGTATGCATGCAACGGCACCAACCCCCTTTCCCCCTTCATGCATACACACTTTACGGACAGCCCCTTACATTCCCTTCCAACCAATGGGATGTTGTGACTTGCCAAAGTGCAGGACCGTACTCACGTTAAGACAGGTACGTGAGTGCAACGGCCCCACAAGAATGGCCTCTCCTCAGATATGTCTACACGTATACCATAACACCTACCTAGCGGATGATCTCTGGATACTCCAGTCCTGACTATCCCTAGACCATCCCACGTTACACCCCATACAACACCAGTAGGTCCCACTGATATATGCACTAAACCTTTATCCTCAGGAGTCTTAATCGCCTTCCAGTCTATCCCTTCTGGACATTTCAAGTTGACTTCGGTGCGACAATAAACCTGTGAAGAAGAGAGCAGTATCACTTTTAACTGTGTTGCAATGTTACAAAATTTTCCTATTTCTCATAAGGTGTTAATGTAAAGGTTGGTTCACACTCGACACAAAAGCAAGCACAAATGCAAATTGTTGACATCAGCTCTACTATTCACACTGCGAATTCACAAAAGCTGAACACATTTCAACTCAAGCGAAATACTACTGCAAATCTTTTATGATGTCAAATTTGCTTCTGTTTCTCGTTCACGTGTTGTATGAACCAGCTTCAATGCTAGTTTGGTACACTCTTCCTTCGGCAAGAAAAATGTGTATCTCCACAAAGGAGGAAATGGAAAGCTACACATAGGATAGATATGGCTTTTGTATTTTATTTATTTGTTAAACCAAGGGCCTAGTCCTGTCAAGCATTTAAAACCCTTGCACACCTTTGCCTCATATCATAATGGTTTTTTCAATTCACCATTTCTTTAATATTTCCTACTACAAAGTAGAGCAGTACTTGAGGAACAGGTCAAAGTGCATCCATCACATCCTTGTTGGTGAGATGTACAGCGCCCTCACCAGTGAAAGCACATAGCAGATAGTTACCTTGCCAAGAGCTGTGATGGTCCAGACAGACAAGTATCCCTCAGGTTGACCAGGGAGCTCACCTCCCCCAATGGCGATGTCATGGAAAGGTTCCTCTAAGGCATCAGGGAACAGACTAGGTATCTGGAGATGTGAATTCACAAAGATAAAGGTATTTGAAAATCCAAAGAACTGACTAACAAAATGTACCGGTACAATACAACAATTACAACATACATGTACATGTAATTGAGCTTGAAATCATTTAGACAAGGTTTCCTGACTTCATATCACGAACCAATGGAACATTCCAGTACTGACATTAAAATGTTGCCATTGGGATTCAACTTTGATACAGCAACAGGTGTCACTGTCACTGATAGTGCACGGGATGCACGCAAGAAAACTTGATGAAAAAAGCAAACACAATGAAAAAGTAACTTTCTATGGAATTTAAACTCCTGATAGCTGAACAAACTTTGGGAAAACAGCTTAGAAAAATTGTTTAAATCAAAGTTGCTCTTGGATTGGGATGGAAAGGAGATTCTTTGGTTGTATTCGTGAATTTCATACATGGAAGTACTACGGCACGTTCATAGCGAACTCTTCAATGTCTCAATGTGCACTGTACATGTGTGTACATGTCCAAACCCGAACCAAACTAAACTTTGGCACAAAAATTTCAAACCGTGTCTGAACTCAACCCAAATCAAACCTTGGAAGCTACTAGCAGCACTAGTGCACGCATTAATGTCTGCCTTTCTTCCTTCAAATTCCTTTCTCTTACAATGTATATGTATGTTCAACATCATGTACATGTATATAAAGTTTAATGTCAAACACTTTAACTGCAAACTCAGAAGTTTCCTCATTTCAAAAGTGATTGTTTGACAATCTGGAAATCACGAAAAATCCCGACAAATCTCCCAACAAAGAATTGTAATCAACCACACATGACCAATACCTATGTTTCGAGTCTTTTCTTACATGCTGTATTGTGATGTGAGAGCCAACTTATACCAGTGACTTAATATGACTGTGCTTGAAGACTACTCACTGTGCCCAAACTGCTTTCTAACCATTCTCTTGTCATTGCATGATCTGTGCTTACCACTGCCCATACACCTGTTGCTTTGAACTTCCGATAACGGATCCATTTTCTCCGACGAACGCAAGAGTTCCAGTGTTTCTCTGCAGTGAAATTTTCTCTGGCATTGAAATTGACTGCATACTGCCATCCCTGAGGAAAAAAAGAGGAATTTCATTACTAAATAAGGATGTACATGTAATATGTCAAATCAAGTTTCCTCTGACATTTTTCAGAAGTGAAACCAATATGCAGAAAACTTAACGCATTTGATAAATACATGTACATGTACGTTGTATGTCCTGTATACCCACTATACAGGCTCAAGTCTTTTCAGACAAGACAGGAGAAAAAAAACAGACAGGAATTAATCTTATTCTTGAATATTCTTGTTCACGAGTGTTCATTGCAAGAAGAACACACAAGCAACAACATTTCAGGAATACATGTACATGTTGTCAAGCATACATGTACATGTAGAAATGTACATTACACTACACATGTACATTTACATGTACAAGATTCCTTTAGAGGGAAAATGTTGATTTGTTTTATGAGCTGCGCTTCATTGATGTCATGTACAATGCACACCCATACATGCACATATATACCTTACATGTACTTAAACACCGTATAATCAGTGCTGTCCGAGGGCTTCAGGCAAAATACTTCCAGAGTTGGGACTCGAACCCACATCCTCCTACTAGTACTTATGTTATGGGTGCTGACATCTGGCAAAGTAGTACATGTGTGTGTACATGCACTTGTCATTTACGTGTACTTTACTAATCTATTGTGTTGAGGATTTCATAAAACTGTCTATTTAAATAACACAAAAACCACTTGTGAAAATGAAGGCTTCCTGTCAGAAGATAAAGGCTTCCTTTCAGGAGATAAAGGCATAGTTTATAACAAATTTATACCAACTAATGGGCCAGTTACAGAAATAGACCAGCACGTACATGTAAATGTATGAACTTTGGTGAAAAGACAGCATGTGTATATTAAGACCTTTGGGTACCGTAAAATCAAGGCAGAATACTAGAGTACTTAATGATGTCAAATTGTTGTTGAGTAAACCTTTACTTAATGTATCCAAAAAAATCTGTCAACGAAAGCACAAATGGGCCGTGCAAAGTTATTAAATATAAAAAAAGGCAGGTGAGTGAAGATTCCAAGATCAAATTAAAGGCTGTAAACCTGCAGGGAGATTGTTCTACATGTAGGTACATGTGCAGTACCATATACATGCAGTGTGCTGTATACAACGAGTACATGGTAC